TTTAGAGGGGCAAACATGCACCTAACTCATGTTCACCTTATATATGTGCTTCAATGAATCGTCTATGGAAAAAGGTTTGAAAAAATTATTTATGTGGTTCATAGTAGTGAAAGGGGAAAGAAGGCACTAGGTTTTGTGTACTAGATGGCATATAGTTAGGGCTCTTATACCCTTATGTTAATTAATTATTTTAACACTAATTAGATATGGCTTCCGATTTACAAAATGCAAAATAGTCCTTGAACCACTCTACGGATGTCATGGGCAACTTTGACGTGACAAATATGATTTGTGGGGACAGAGGGCATGTAATTAGCATAAATAGGTTGTGAGTTAGAGTCGAAAATGCCTTTAATTAGTCGAAAAAGGGCGTTCGGGAGATGAAAATACAAAACAACCCCTGAACCACTCTATGAATGTCATGGACAGCTTCCTTGTGACAAATAGGACCTGTAGGGATAGACGACATGTAGTTAGCGCACCTAGGTTAGGAGTTCGAGTCAAAAACGCTGTAAACTTAGTAAAAAAAAAGGCGTTTGGGTGGCAAAAAATGCAAAATAGCTCCCGAACCACTCCAAGGATGTCACGAGCAACTTCTTCATGACAAATAGGACCTATGGAAGCATACGACATTTAGTTATTGCACATAGGTTGGGAGTTAGAGTGAAAAAGGCCTAAAACTAAATCGAACATATTTAGATGACTAATTATGTCATATGTACTATTAATTATAGATAACTACTTTATGAGTCTTCAAACATATTTTGTCACTGCTTTTAATCTTAAATGGTACGAGTGATTATTGTTATTCACATGAATTGTGCTGCTTGAGTCTATTGTACTGAATTTACTGATATTTTCTATGGCAATAAGTGCTGCTACTTGTTTCCATGCATCTGTTATTAAAAAAAAAATTAAAAATAAAAAAAGGCAAACAAAATGTCATCTTTTTAGTCAACACTTCAACCATGTCTAAGATTATAATGGAAAAAGTATTGAAGAAGATGAAAATTTTAATTCACTCACCATAACCTCTGATCTTTTTGCCTCAAACTATCAAGTTCTGTATGCATTTCTGGTACTAATAGGTGCAATTTTTTTTGTAGATGGCTTTTGGCGTGGACTTGTGGATATTCTATTTTTGTGTATGGAGAACAATTTACATTTTTGTATAATCCCACTATTTGGTCGTCTTTTGCTTTTGTGTGGATTAATATTAATCATACAGATAACTTTTGGCATCAAACGAATAATTTTTTGTGTAGTATATAGATTACTTTTTGTCGTTGTACAAATTATCACGGTATTTTGTATCATGCCAAATGGCCATTTGGCATGATAGTGAATATATATTTTTTGTGTACGGAGAACATGTTTTCATATGATTCTATGTTTTGTATGGAATTATTATTTTAGGTTGGAATATACTTAGTTTGTATGAAATTTGATATTAAAAGTTATTCTTTTTTGGATGGTTGGAAGTGAAATGGATGCAAATTACGGAATGGTTGATAATATATGTATTGTTTTGTTTATATATATGGTACATGTTGCACAGAATACATATAGGTTGTGGAAAAATTAATAAATAAAAAAACCTAAAATTATGTTTTTGGCAACTAAACAATTGGTAGCCAAAAAGGAAGTACATAATTTTAGCGACTAAATAGTTAGTAGCTAAAAAAATAAATAAAATGAAAAAAAAATTGGTGACTAAAACTTTAGTAGCCAAAAAAATAAATCAGACTTTAGGCGACTAAAACATTTAGTAGCTAAAAAAAAGACTTTGGCAACTAAATTTTAAGTAGCTAAAAAAATTTAGACTTTTGGCGACTGAAACACTTAGTAGCTAAAAAAAATAAGATGAACAACAAAAAAAATTTGGCGACTAAAATCGCCCTAAATAATTTCAATTTTTGATGATTAAATATTTTAGTCGCTAAAAATGGCATATTAATTTGTTTGAAAGCTTTTGGTGACTAAAACATTAGTCGGCAATTGAGGACTTTCGGTGACGAAATGTTTTAGTCGCTGAAAATACGATATTAATTTTTTATGAAAGATTTTGGCAACTAAAACATTAGTTAGCAATTGAAGACTTTCGGCGACTAAATTTTTTTTAGCCGCCAATTACCTTCCCCGAAAATTATTCAATTATAATCTAGGAATCAAAAAATTTAAGTCGCTAAAAAGTTTCGGCAACTAAAAGTTTACTCTTGGCGACTAAAAATTTAGTCGCCAAAAGTGTCATTTGTTGTAGTGAAACGAAAAGGGATGAGAGGTGCATAAGTGTCAAGGGAGAGGCTTAGGACATTGACAAAGAGGAGGGACTAGAGACTGCGAAAATTGAGAGGGTGTTAGAGCTTCGAGGGTAGGTAACGAGGCTATGAAGGTGGTGGAAAAGAAAAGGGGCCTAGGGGGAAGAGAGAGTTAGGAAAAGAGATAGATAGGGTTTCAAGGGTAAATGAGAGTGCTATAAGGAAATGAGGAGTAAAAGAGGCAAGATACAAGGAGGGTGGCGACCATAAGGGAGGGAAAAGGGTAGGGACCATTAGGGAGGGAAAAGTTTGGGGACCATCAGGTAAGGTGACAAGGTGGAGAAAATAGGGGTTACAATGGTGGCCAAAAAAGGGGACAGCTTGGCATGGGTGGTCAGAAACAAACGGGGTTTGCGGTGGTAAAGAGAGATGATGCGGAGGTGTTGGAATGTGGCTGAGTGGAGCAAACGCTAACGTCGACAATAGATGTAGTTGAAGGAGATGGGCGATAGACAAATTAGGATTTTAAAATTTTAAACTTTGTATATATATATTTGTAATTTGATACAAAGATAAAATTATAACAAAAAAAATATAATTAAAGGGTGTAGCAAGATAATTTATGGTGCAAATAGAATCGCCCTTTCTTGAAAATAGAGATGACAATTTTTCCTCACCCTTGTATTCCTGCCTCATCCTGTGTGGGTTTTCTCTGCCCCAATGACGAAATAGAGATGTGATGGATTTTTCTCTCCATACCTCGTTCTACCCCAACTTTGTTCCGATTATATTTATCAAATATATATATATATATATGATTTAATTTTGATCAATATAATAAGATTAAAACAGTAAAACATTACACTTAGCATTCATTGTTACTCATTTATTTATCATTTTACAAATAAGATTAAAACAGTAAAACATTACACTTAGCATTCATTGTTACTCATTTATTTATCATTTTACATAATTAATATAAACAATAATTCTATTTGCCCAAAAAAGTTTTCTGGGTTAAACCCAAAATGAAATTGTATGGTAGAGATTGATTTGGTATAGTTTGAACTCCATATACAGAATAAATTTGAGTCAGATCGATTTTTGTGAATGAACTTTGAGATAAAAATATAGGTCACTAGTGTTGTAATAATAGACTATATTGTTTCTAATTTTGATAAATTACACTCCCCTCTCTTGAGATTTGAAAAAAAATACTTTTTACATAATTATATTAACCACTTTTATGGTTTTAATTTACATAACAGTTGAACCATTTTTTATCAATAATTTGTTAGTTATATAAATGAAAAAAAAATGATATTATCATCTTTTTAAACTAAAATATATATTTATCTTTATTTATTTCAGTGGCTATCTATTATTTGCATAAGTTTCAATCATTTTAATTTTACTAAAAGGAAGATCAACATAATTACGTCAAAAATGTTGAATTAATTACATTTTTTTTTCCAAACTTCTTAATTTACCTTTCTAATTTTTAGGATTAATTATACTCAGATCCCTTCAACTAAGTGAACATCATTTTATCTTTTAGGGTTAATTTTGATAGTTGATGATGTCAAAATGTAGAGATTTATAAATAAATGTAAAGTGATATTCATTTATTATTGAAGACATCGTGATGTAAATAATTCTAATTTTTATTAATATTTTTATTTTTTAAATTAGTACAAAATTAACCCACTGAATCCCAACACCCCAATTAGGTACGAACTAGGGTTGTTGCTATCTTTTAGAGGTATAATATTATGTTGTGAGCTTTTGAAGGTATGTCTTAAATATATTTTAATAATTTGAATTATTAATAGTGTAAAATTTGTTAAGTTGATCGTTCATGAAAAAAATAAGTTAATTAGATATGTATAACTCACAATAAGACCATGTTTTTATTTAGAAAAAAATAAACGCCCAAGATAATTTTAATAATTTTTGAAAATTATTATTCAACTTGATCATGAGTTTATACTTATCCAATTAAATTCTTTTTTCTTTTTCTTTTTCTTTTTTATATAAATGGCATATACTCAATCAAGCCTATAATATAAATAGTTTAAATCATCAAAATATGATCCCAAATAATTTTGACAGAGAGTGACAGCAACAGCATGGATGTTGTCATAGCATGCACCCAAAATTCACATTTTACCGAGAGCAATGATTGAGAGCCCTGTTCCCATAAGACCCCACAAATTTGGATTACTTATGATGTGGACTTCACATATATATGAGTAGGCTCCACACATACATAGAGGGTTAGGATCACTTTAAAGATATGAGGGTCATCCCCAAAGAGGATTTCAAACATTTTTGTTACCAATATCATACAGGATAAGGGCGGAGAATTACAAACTCGTCCCATTTCTCTCCTAATTGAAAGCGAAGTGTGTAGGAACAGGACATGACCAAAAATAAGTAAAACACCTATGTGGATGTTTGGGAAATTATTATTTTAGTTAGTTATTTTAGTTTTTGACTATTTTAGGATGCTAAAATTTTTGTGTTTAAGAAGATAGTTAAATTTTTTTTATAGTTGGATGTGATGTTTGTGAGATAAAAAGTGAAATAATTATAGGTTTGATTTGACATTTTATCTTATTAATTATTTTAGCCTATTTTGTCTTTTAGTACTATTTTAGCAAAAAAACTAAAAAAGTTGCTTCCCAAACACTCCCTATATATATAGCCCCTATATACATAAATATAGAAACAGAGAAGGAAGGAAGGAAAGAAAGAAAGAACGAAAGAAAGAAAGCTCTTTTCATCAGTTTCTGTGCACTGGGGTACAAAAGTGTATTAGCAAAAACAGAGTCAAAATATGATGATGTGGAGGAGTAATAAAAGAGGAATGCGTGGTGCTTCTGAGGAAGAAATTGAACAGTTGTCAAGAGATGGAAGCCATTACAGCATCTCAACAGGTATTCTTCCATCTCTGGGTGCTAGAAGCAACCGCACAGTTAAGCTCCACAGATTCATTATCTCCCCTTATGACCGCCGCTACAGGTTCTCTCTCAATCATCTTCATCTTCTCTCTCTTCTCTCATATATATATATATATAAGTGTTTGTATTGTATAAATGTAATATATTATTTTATTTGCATATCATTTATGTATCTTGTTACAGTTATAAAGTCTATGTGACACTAAATGTTGTCCTACTTTGATGAGTAAACGCATAGTGCCATTTACTAACTTCCTTTTCTTTCTTTTGTTTTCAGAAAAACAAAGAGAAAAATAAGAAAAGGAAACTTTTTTTTTGAGTTTGTTTGGTAGGAAAATGATGGAAACTTTAAAAAGTTGTTGTTATTATTATTATTTAGTTTTAAATATTTTTGCAAAATACACACACAGAAAAAAATAAAAATAAAATAAATTTGAATTTATGCTCGCAAGAAGTTACTTTAAATTTTGTGTTCTTCTTCATTTCATCCTAATCAAATGCTTGCAAGTAATTATTTTCTTGGAAAATCTTGGGATACAAGAAACTATTATTAATTGGTAATCTCAAAAAAGCAGTTTTTTTTACTTAAAAAAAGTGCAGAGAAGAAAACTTGTTTGGTTTTGGTTAAAAACACAAATTTTTGAATAAAAAAAATAATTTTTTTTAGGAATGTCAATAAAATTGTTAATATGTGATTTTACGTTCTATATCTTGAGAATTCCACTCTATCCTATTGATTATATTAATAAAGATTCCACAATATGATAAGAGTAATATGATAATTTTTTTATTAAACAATAAAAGTTTAGAAAGAGTCACAAAACTTTTTTTATAACAAAAAATTAACATTTTAAGATGAATTTTCACTTTTCTATAAGTTTTTTCTGGTTGATGTCAATGGCACAACTCAATTTATTGATGATCCGTATATACGGAGAAAAAGACAAAAATGCCTATGCGATAGTAAATAGCTTGACACTAACTTCGGGGCTTCAACAACATTTTGTTTTGATCTTTGTGCGTTGTTCAAAAATTAAAAAAAATGGTATTGTTTTGTTTGTTATTTCTTCTTGAGAGTATGTGGAAAAGAACAACACTCAATCTTGTATGCCTTGTTTCTATCATACAAATATTGATCTTGTTTTTGGTCCTTCTGTTTTTATTTTATTTTTTATACTTCTCATACACTCTCTATCCCTTTTTCCAAAATGCTTTTATGGCAAATTATATCAGTAGTCTTTATATTTTAATTTTTATAATTTCAATTAACTCAATTTTGACTCTAGATTTATTATTTTGTCTTAATGTAGTCTAATTAATTACAATTATTTTTAATAGAGAATACCCACCTAAGTGACGTGTTATGCTTTTATAGATAAAATTGTAAAATTATTTAACTTAGTGGATTAACTAATTCAGTAAAATTCCTTCAAAAATCCTAATCAGCGTTATCAGTTGGATCAAATTGATACAAAATCTAAAATTAAGAATCAAAATTAAACTAATTGAAATTATAAAAATCAAAATGATACAGAACACAAAACAAGAACTACCGATACAATTACCCAAGTTCTTATTATAATCTGTTTTGAAACACTTATGGGTAAATTTCTCTGTTGCTAGTCTTGGTTGTGCACATGGGTTTGGAAATGCACAGTAAAAAAAGTGAGAGGCCAAAATCATTCCTAATTGGTGGCCTGCAATTTTCTAGTTCACTTTCCTGGAAAATTTGAAGATTAACGATGTAGGTTGAACATGAACAGCATGTGAATATTTTATTTTATTTTATTTTTTGTCTGGCCCTATTAGCGTGCTTTTGAATTTTGGATTGGTCTGATGGAAAATTTTGATTTGAAAAAAGGACTCCATCTCTCGAAATATGCCACACTAACTGATTCTTCTTCTGCCTTTTTCCAAATTTTCTTTTGAAATTTTTTATTTTGATTCCCATTAATTTTTTTATTCTATTTATATTCGACCACACTGTTTAATTTTGTGTTTCATACTCGTAGTTTCGGATTCTAAAATATGATTTTTTAAAATTAAAAAAAAGGACTTGATTCTATGAAGAAAAAAAATTATGTAATTGTCACACTACATTTTCATCAGTAATTTTTTTTTTCTCCACCAATTTGGGAGCCATTGAAAAATATTCCAGTTGACTACTTTGCAGAATCACTTTGAACATCAATCATCATCATTATCTCCTGCAAACAAATCCAGATCTTGTTTCCTCACTAGCTTTACAAAAATTAAGACGAAACCGCTTTATTGATATGATTAACTCTGGATAGAAATTTTAAAATTTCTACTAAAGACTAACAACTACTTCTATTGAACAACTTCCTCTAAAATCTGCTTTTTTCGGTTTCGTGGACTTTTTTCAACTTCCTTTTCTTGTAGAATCCCTTCTGCTTCTTTTCTGCATAATTTTTGGCTTCTTTATTGTTCTTGCCTGGAAAAAATGATGTCGATAATTTTTGTTCTACAATTACAACTTGATATTTTCCGTCTTGTTTTTTCCATGTATGAAATTTTTTCACTAATATGACAAATCTCAGAGGTTTATGATACCAATAATGCTAAGTGCAAAGAAAATGCATTGGGGTTGAAATCCCTTCTGATTGTTATGTGGCAACCACACTACATTTGTTCGTAGACAATGCGTTATAATTCTGTACACATAGCATTATTGTTCTGATACTTTCAAGTTGAAGAACAATCTTTCCACTAAAATTAGCTCAGCTAAACTAATATTGGCAGGTCATGGGAGACATTTCTGGTTGTTCTAGTCATCTACACAGCTTGGGTATCTCCATTCGAATTTGGTTTCCTTGACAGGCCAGAGGGGCTACTAGGCATTACTGACAATGCTGTTAATGGATTCTTCGCCATCGATATCATTCTCACGTTCTTTGTAGCATACCTTGACAAAACAACTTACCTAATTGTTGACAATCGAAATCAAATTGCTTGGAAATATGCAAGATCTTGGCTAGTCTTTGATGTCATATCCACACTCCCTTCTGAACTTGCTAGGAAGATTTCTCCTACACCTTTACGCTCATGTGGCTTATTCAACATGCTTCGCCTCTGGCGTCTTCGTAGAGTTAGTGCTCTATTTGCCAGGTAAAACTATTGTCGTTCAATCTTAACGAGCATATAATTATAGATAGTATGACGGCATAAGTGAAATGTGTATTCGTGTAATTCCCAATCCTCGTTTTCTTTGTTCAAAAACAGATTGGAGAAAGATAGGAACTTCAACTACTTTTGGGTTCGATGTGCAAAGCTTATTTGTGTAAGTAAATTTGAGAAACCTTGGTCTATTCTGTATCAAAGTGATCGGTTTTTCCAACAGTGTAGCATTTTATGTTGTTTTGGTTGCTATTATAGGTCACCCTTTTCGCGGTTCACTGTGCTGGATGCTTCTATTACCTTCTTGCTGCACATTATCGCAACCCAAAAAAGACATGGATTGGAGCATCCATGGATGACTTCCTTCACGAGAGCCTATGGATCCGGTATGTGACATCAATTTACTGGTCTATCACTACTCTCACAACCGTTGGATATGGTGATTTGCATGCTCAAAATACAAGGGAGATGGTATTTGATATATTCTACATGCTCTTCAACCTTGGACTGACAGCATATCTGATAGGAAATATGACCAACTTGGTTGTCCACGGTACCAGTAAAACTAGAGAATTTGTGAGTAAATCGTAATATTTGTTATTTTTTTTATGAATTCTCTTTTAATTTTTTAATTTATTATGCCATTAATTGTTTCGTCTATTTTAAAACAGAGAGATACAATTCAAGCGGCATCAAATTTTGCACAGAGAAACCATTTGCCCGCTCGCCTGCAAGATCAGATGCTTGCGCATTTATCTTTGAAGTACAGAACAGACTCGGAGGGCCTGCAGCAGAAGGAGACTCTTAATTCGCTTCCAAAAGCCATCCGTTCAAGCATTTCACATTTTCTTTTCTACTCTCTTGTCGATAAGGTGTACTTGTTTCGTGGCGTGTCCAATGACTTGCTCTTCCAACTGGTAATATACTAAGATTTAGCACGATCACCGCATATTTCACTCGAATATGTCCCCTAATGTTGTGTTTTCTGGTTTATTAATTTCAAAGGTTTCAGAGATGCAAGCCGAGTATTTTTCTCCCAAAGAAGACGTGATATTGCAGAACGAAGCACCTACAGACTTCTACATACTTGTTACCGGAGCTGTGGTAATTATGGAGTTTTATCCTTCTTTTTCCGTAATGGTCTGATTTCGTTTTCAAAATCTATTTTCTAAAAAAACTAAAAACTAATTTGGTGAAAGAATAATGAAAAATTTAAAAATACTCTCATCAAATTTTTTTTTTTTTTGGGTGCAAAAATAGTGTTTGAAAATTCTAAAACATCTTTCTGGAGTTTATTTTCACTGGACTAGTTTTTAGTGTTTTTTCAAAAAAAAAATATTATGAAACGAAAATGAACATAAATAGATTACTTTAAGTCTATTATAAATCGTTTCTCTTGGAGTTTTTAATGTTTGATTATTTCACAGGAGCTATTGGTTTTAAAAAATGGAACTGAACAGGTAAATCTGAATCTTAAATATCTCAAAAGGACTCTGCTAACAATAAAATGACTTGATTGAAAACATTGACATTGAGAGATATTAGAATTTCCATGACAAAATGCATGTCCCAAGTGTAAAATTATGGCTTAATCCTTGCAGGTCATTGGAGAGGCGAAAACGGGTGATCTTTGTGGGGAGATTGGTGTGCTATGTTATAGGCCACAACTCTTTACAATGAGGGCTAAACGATTATGCCAGTTACTGCGTATGAACCGGACCACATTCTTGAATATTGTTCAGGCCAATGTCGGAGATGGAACCATAATCATGAACAATCTCCTTCAGGTATGTAAACCTGATATACCGAAATAGATTTTGATCATACTGGTAAAAATAAGCCAGTTTAGATGTAGGATTTTGTATTTCTTTGACTAACATATCTCAAAAATTCCTCTTATTTTCCCATTCTTGTTTTTTTTTTTTTTAGTTTTATCCACTATCTTTGTCATTAATGTTTGATATGACATAGTTAGTAGTCGAATACACAAGTATATGTTTGTTTTTTTAAACTCGAGATTGAATTTCAACTTCTTTGTTTTGTGGGCAGCATTTGAAAGAACAGAAGGACCCGATAATGGAGGGAGTTTTGTTGGAGACAGAGAACATGCTTGCTCATGGTAGAATGGACCTACCTCTAAGCCTATGCTTTGCTACACTTAGGGGAGACGACCTGTTGTTGGATCAATTGTTGAGACGGGGTTTGGATCCAAACGAATCAGATAACAACGGGAGATCTGCTTTGGTGCGTATACCTCACTGACTTTCGCATTGTGGTCTCTCATTAATTTCTAAAGATGGGTTTGTCTTAATTTCATTGTTTTTTTCTATGTAAAATCAGCACATAGCCGCGTCGAAAGGAAGTGAGAATTGCGTGCTTCTCCTGCTCGATTATGGAGCAAGTCCTAATAGCAGAGGTATTTTCTTGTCCCAATGAGATCAGTTAGCAAAGCCATTTTGGTAACAATATCAAACACTACTTTGATTATTGATTATTTTCCATTATTTTCCATTATTGATTATTTTCCAATATCAAACATTATTGATTATTTTCCATTTTATTTGCACTTTGTTTTAATTACTTCTCAATATTCAATTTTCTCATCATCAGTGTCTTTGTTAATAATTTTTTGATTCACTATGCTTGGCTATCACTTTTCAAAAAATTCTACTTTCTTACTTTTCGTGTTTTTTTATTTTTACTGAATTTTTTTTAATATTTTGAGCAATTTTTTTTTACATTTTTAGACATACCTAACATAAATATACCTAAAAAGTAAAACAAAAATTAAAAAAAACCTTTTAAAAATTCACTAAATACCAAAAATACAAAAAAGAATACGAGAATTCAGTACATTTTTTGTATTTTTATGTATTTATTAATTTTTAAAAATATTTTTTTACAAATTTTTTACTTTTTAGATACATTTAAGTAAGGTGCATCTAAAAACGTAAAAAAAATATTTAAAAATTTAAAAATATTCACTAAAAAAAAAATACGAAAACAAAAAGACTCAATTTAAAAAAAACTTAATTCAAAAAACTCAAACCAAACATACTTATTTTTTAAAGATAATGGCTTAGTTTATACATCTGTGTGTGTGTACAAAATAGCATTTCAACCAATTCTTCATTCCAAAGCTGAATTAGATGTAGGTCTATTAAATTATATTATAACTAAAATTTCAATATTGTGCCCATTTGTCAATTTGATCATCTATGTGCTCTTCAATTATTGCAATTCTACTTGTATATCCTGGTTGCAATTATCCAATTCCAATGTCTAATCTTATATTTGATTTTCTTTGTACTTTTACCTGGGCTCTAAACACTTGTCGACTCTAGATATCATTGTTCGAGTTTTTTTTTTTTTTTTTTTTTTTTTTTTAATATTCTAAAAAAAAATAATTTAGAAAATTGACTCACTTTTCAAATTATTTGGGAAACTAATCTGTTTTTGAAATCTCATTTTGAAAAAATGATTTTGAAATTGAAATTGCATTTTCAACATGCAATTTCACTTTGAAATCGCATGTTGAACATGCCATTTCACCATGTCATCATAACTTGCATTTTCAACCTGCGATTTTAAGGTGAAATTGCATGTTGAAAATGCAATTTCAATTTTAAAATCGCATTTTTAAAATGTGATTTCAAAAAGTAGGTTAATTTCTCAAATAGTTTGAAAAATGAGTCAATTCTCTAAATTGTTTTTTTTTTTTAGAATATTAAAAAAAAAAACTCATCATTGTTCAATACTGAGACCACTTATTTGTCAAAAATAAAAGTATTTTTCTTTTTAATATAGATGAATAATAATACATATAATGGTTCAAAAGTATTGACATTTAGGTTCTGTTTGGTAACGTTTCCATTTTCAGTTTATATTTATAAAAATTCTATAAACTGATTTTTGTTTATTTTTAGAAAAACATAAACTATAAACTCGTTTGGTAATTGACAAAATGTTTAAAAAAATTTAAAAAAGAGAGAAATCGCAAGTGGCGGCGGAAGACGGTGGTAGAAAGTGGTGACGGTGGGTGGTGGGTGGTAGGGAGTGGGTAGTGGTGGGGGGTGGTGGTGATGGGTGGGTAGGTGACGGCGGTAGTAGATGGATGGTAGCGAGTGGGTGGTGGTGGCGGCGGCGGTGGCTGCGGCAGGTGGTTGGTGGTGGTAGCAAGTGGGTGGCGGATGGCGGGTGGTGGCGAGTGGGTGGTGGTGGGTGGCGAGTGGGTGGCGGGTGGTGGTGGTGGTGGGTGGTGATGGTGGGTGGTAGTGGGTGTGGCGGGGGTGGTGTGAAGTGGGTGGGTGGGTGGGTTGCTGGTGGATGTGTTGTGGGTGGGTGGGTGGTGGGTGGCGGTGGGGGTAGTGTGGGGTGGGTGGTGGTTGTGTGGTAACCAGGTGGGGGCGGATGGCAAAGTGTGCCAGGTAGGTACCAGGTGATGGTGGTAGTGGGTGGGGTAGGTGGGTGCCGGTGAGGGTGAGGTGGTAGGTGGGGTGGTGGTGGTGGGGGTGGCAGGGTGCTGGTGGTGGCGGGTGCTGGTGAGGGTGGGCAAGTAGGTGCGGGTGTTGGTGGCGGGCGTGGATGGTAGTGGCGAGGTGATGGCGGTAGACACAGGTGAGTGTACTGGTGGTTCGGGTAGTGGGTCATGGTGGCGGTGTTTTTGGCAGTGGTGGGGGTATGGTGGTGGCGAAAGACGGTGGTGGATAATGGTGGCGGGTGGTGGCTAATGTTGGGTGGTAAAAAAAAAAAAAAAACTGAAAACTCAAAACGGAAACATATTTTTTGAGTTTACATTTTTTTAGCCAAATTTATAAACCGAAACCACTGATTTATAAATCAAAAATTTTACCAAACAAGTTTTTATTTGAGTTTTTTTAATTTTTGTAAATATAAAGAGAAAACTGAAAACGTAAGTGTTACCAAACGACACCTCAAGAATGAGAAACTTTCCTTCTCTGTCACACTGATATTACGATAACACCTCAAGAATGAGAAACTTTCCTTCTCTGTCACACTGATATTACGATATTAGTTGAAATTTCCATTATTGGGAACATGTTCAAATAAGTTACATCACCTAATATTCAAATATTTAATGATATCATCCTGTTCGACATCCGCAAATTTTCCTAGTTTGCAGATCATTTTCCTTGTACTTCCTGAGATAGGAGTTTTGACCATGCAAAAGGGCTGAGCTGTAAACGTTATGGGCCGAACTCGGCCCATCGCTTTACGGTTAGCTGGACGAGATCGAAGTGGACTGGATCCACCAAGCAGAGTTAACCGAGCTCCACTACCTTAGCCGAAGTGTTCTACTTATAGACCGGGCTGATCTCGGCGTGTTGTAATGGTCCAAGCATATTTGGGTCATGACAGAATTGGGGCAAGTTTAACTGGCTTGGCCAAGCTGGAGTTGACCAGTTGGGCATCTCAGAGCCAGGCTGCTGAATAGAAGCAGCTTAAAGTAAACAACCACGTGTCGGATGGCAGATAGCTCGGCAATAGCCACCTTCTGGCCCAATTAAAGAGCAGAGGAGGGAACCCACTGTTCGTGCATGTCAATACCGTTTGGTTGTTTTGTTAATACTGTTTGGTAGTATTGTCGCACACACACGTGTAAGAAGAAAAGAGGCTAACACATCCGCGTACCCAAGAGAGGACGAGCAGGGTAGTGCACACACAAACTATATAAACCTTGTAGTGCCTCCATGCAACAGGTCTGAATATTTTGATACAAAACTATCTTCTCTGTTGTCTTTTTCTCTCTCTCTCTCTATGAGTGCTAACTTGATTGGCGGAAAGGGTTTTCCGACAACACACCCATCGAGTAGCTCATTGTTGCTGTGTTTTCAAGTACGACAACGTTGCTTGGAAAAACACGGAGCTTGGACGTAAGGAGTATGGAAGCATAGAATATTTGCTCCCTGTACAATTGGCGCCATCTATGGGAATCTAAACAAACCAAACCTTGACCTCCAAGCTCATCTAATCACCATGGCGAACGACGATGTTTCGAAGTCTGTTATCAATGGCATTATGCCAAAGTCAGTCCAACGGTGAGATAACTTGCTCGTCGTTCCGACAATGACTGGTTTGGAGACCTCCACATAGGGACCCTATAGAGATGCGCAAGACAAACACACAAGGAGTTTTGGGCGCTCTCTGAGCCCAAAAGAACACCGCCAATTGTGTGGATCACATACTCAACACTTGGAGAGCAAGTTGAGAGACTAGGACACAATCATTAGAAAAATGGCGATGGAGATGGAGGCTATGAAGCCCCAGTTGAAGGCAAAGGACGTTGTTGGAGTAAGAAACCACAGTGAGCGAGCCCAGTCCCACTATTCAAATAGTCACAATAAGAGGCCAACAACGTCATTTTCCATCACCAAAAGGTTTAGAGCTGACAACTTCGTCATGCCAGCGAAGGTGTCTCGTACTGGAGACAGTAACTACAGGCCCTCCCGTCCATCAACGACGTCAAGATACTCTTATTTTGATCAATCGGGGGATTTGAGGGACATATTAGAGGAACGAGTGTGCCGGCGAGAGGCATAGAGGATGCTAGCATTGCAGCAGCTGACCTACGAAGGTTGTGCCAGCAAGGAGGTCGTAATGCCGCCACCACGATTGACTGCACATGAGCCACAAGATAAGGACTTGGTGAGGCTGAGTGCCATCCCTTTTTCCCTCGAGATAGAGAACACACCACTTCTCGCTGGTTTCCACTAGCTAAAATTCACGAAAAACCGATCTATACATGCACGTGAGCCACTTTCGGCAGGTGATGGCTGGCCACCGACTTAATGATGCATTGATTTACCTCATTTTTCCATCGAATTTAGGTGAATTGGGCCTAAAGTGGTTCGAGAGGTTGCTAGAGGAGAGTATCGAGAGGTGGCAGCAGTTGGTGGAGTCGTTTGTCACTGATTCAAGACAAATACCAAAACTCCAATGGAAGTTAACCATCTTTTGGGAATCAAGATGGAATCGGGAGACTCGTTAAAGGCGTACAACGCCAAGTATTGGGAAACATTCAACAATATTCTTGATTGCCTGGTGAACCTAGCAATCACCCAATACAAGCGCGGTCTTCCAGTCGGGCATAGACTTAGAGACTCACTTATCATGAACATGAACCAACCTTCAACCATGGAGTTGCTTATGCAACGTATCAACGAACACATCCGAGTCGAGGGTGATGCGGCTGCTACTAGTGTGAAGGCAAGTCCAGCAGTAACGGATAAGAGAATTGCGGGCAAAGTTCACACGATCGGACATGAGAAAAACCATCCAGACAACCATGGAAGGGATAAGAGCCGTAGAAACAATCGCAATAAAAAGAACCGCAACTCTGATCGGGCAAACTACCACTACGATACCGCAGAGGATGCTAAGAGAAAGCTGAACGCCCAGACGGGCATTACCGCAGTCTTCAAAATTCTAATCTATCGCATCCTTAGCGAGATCCGTGACGAGGCATACGTTCGGTGGCCGGCTAAGCTGGGAGATGCCCAAGAAGGCTTTTAACCGCAACATCACTGCACCTACCATGACAAGCGAGGACACCGTACAGAAGATTGCGTGCCCTTGAAGAAACACCTGGAAGAATTAGTGCCAACCAAGCACTTGAACTGCTACATCGACAGTGGTGTTAAGGCTGTGTTTGAAGGCCCAGTTGAACCTAACGACTTAACCACCCTGGATGCCCCTCCCGAGGGTGTATTCAACATGATCCATGGGATCATCGAACCAGCACGGGTATGTGAGCTTAGGGTGATGATCAAGAAGGCTGAACACATGAGGGAAATTCTGCCCACCTAGCCAGCCATAAAAAGGGGCAAGGCAAAAGTCACAGATGTCATCACTTTCTTTAGCAAAGATCTAGAGCGAATCCAAACTCCACACAACGATGCACTAGTCATCACGCTAAGCATCAAAGACTTCAACATCAAATGCATTTTGATTAACTAAGGTAGCTTAGTTGAAATAATGTACCATGACCTTCAAACAACTGAAGTTGGAGGACAAAGACCTAGCCCTAGCAACCTCGTCACTGGTCAGTTAGAACTCGTAGCCAGAATGGCCAGTTGAGAAAATTATCCTACCAGGCAAAGCAGGATCTATCGTCAAGCAAGTAGAGTTTTGGGTATTGAAGGTGCCCTTGACTTATAACTTGATCCTAGGTAGAGGATGGCTTCATGCCATGCAGGCGGTGGCGTCGACTTACCACCAAGTAATAAGGTTTCATTATGCCACTGGAATGATAGAGAAAGTGTGGGGTGATCAAGTCATGGCCAAGCAATACCGTGAATGGAAGTCGAGTAGCCAAAGGATTTTGTGCAAATGATCGAAGGACCGGAAGATCAGAAGGTCTTATGCGATGTCGGCAAGAAAGCTGAAGATAAGGATGTTGAAGACCTGATGGAAGTGAGAATCGACGAGAACAATCCAAGCAAGTTCTTTCTGCTTGGGTCATCTTTGTCTGCCCAAGAGTGATTAGAGATCGTAAACTTTTTGGTGGCTAACATTGAAGTATTTGCATGGATGGCTTACGACATGCCTCCAAACTTCATTTGCCATTAACTCAATGTCTTTCCAGATGTCGGCCAATCGTGCAAAGAACGCAGCAATCAGCACTTCACCACGCCGAGGTGGTGGCGGAAAAGGCCAAGAATTATTGGAAGCAGGGGCGATCAAAGAAGTGCACTACCTTTGGTGGGTTTCGAACATGGTAGTTATGCCCAAAAAGAATGAAAAATGGCAGGTTTGCATTTACTACAAGACAATCAACAGAGCTTGCCGCAAAGATAGCTTCCTACTTCCTTGAATCAACCAGCTTGTGGACCTTACAATCGGGCACAACGGGTTCAGTTTCTTAGATGCTTACCGCAGCTATCACCAAATCGCCTTGTATGAGCCGAACTGAGAGATCACTTCTTTCACAACTCCAAGGGGGTTGTTCTGCTATAAAGTCATGCTCTTCAGGCTAAAGAACGCTAGGGCTACCTTCTAGAGAATGATCACTAAGATGTTCGCCCCTCTACTTGGCCGGACAATTGAAGCATACATTAATGACATGGTGGTTAAGAGCAAGAACGAGACCGATCACCTGAAAGATCTAGTTGAGATGTTCACAATCCTGAAACATCATAAGTTGTGCCTCAATGCGTCTAAATGCGCCTTTGGCGTCGGATCAAACAAGTTTTGGGGCTTCTTGGTAACCAACCGAGGAGGCGGATCCCTCTCAAATCAAAGCCGTACAGGAGTTAAAGCAGCTGAATTCAACAAAAGACGTGCAACATCTTGTTGGGATGGCAGTCGTGCTTAATAGATTCATAAGTTGGTCTTCAGATTGTTGCCACCCTTTCTTTCATGCTCTAAAGTCAAAGTTCTCATGGGATGAGAAATGCGATCGAGTGTTGACAGACTTAAAGACTTACTTTTTATCCGCCCCACTTCTTGTAACGCCAATACCAGGTGAAGAAATTTTCCTCTATCTGGTTGTCTCCCAACATGCCATTGGTGCGGTTCTCGTTAGAGCAAGGGGCATACAACATCTTTCAATCTTCTATGTGAGCAAAACACTGCTTCTAGCAGAATCGAGATATTTGCCATTGGAGAAACTCACCCTGGCACTAATGATGGATTTCGGGAAGTTGGCACACTATTTTCACACTCACAGAATCATAGTTTGACCAAGTTCGCATTAAAAACCTTATTTGAGAGAGTAGACTTCTCCAGTCGGATCCTGAAGTGTGTAGTCAAATTGGGGCAGCTTGACGTCAAGTTTCAATATAGAACCAAAATCAAAGCCCAAGCATTGGCCGACTTCATCGCATAATTCTTGCCAAGTACTCACCCAGTTTGCTCGGTGGACCTTACAAACATAGCCGGACAAAGGGAAGTGGGTGTCACAGAAGTTGCAAAGCTTACTGTCCCATCGACATATCCCATAAAGCCAATAGAGCTAAAAGGAGACGACATTGTGAAAATTGCAAGGCCTACACTTTCCAGTTGCTACCAACCTACCAGCTAGACAAAGCGGGGAAGGGTGTCGCGGAGGTTGCATGCCAGACTATCGATTCGCCAACTGAAGAACTACTAGGACCTAGTAATGCTTCATTGAGTTTGGAAGTAATAAAACAACCTGTAGGACTCAACAACACATCACTGAAGGGGGAGGAGGTAAAGGCCATGCAACTCGCAACCATCAATGGCATGCTCGAAGCGTAAATAGCTAAGTTGCCAAGCAAAAATACAACCTCGCAGGCCCCCAAGCCGAACAACAAAGACAAAGACCACCTGATACTGAGTTACCAAGCAAAGATACAACCTCGCAGGCCCCCAAGCCGAACAACAAAGACAAAGACCGCTTGATTCTTCAAAAATAGCAAGAACCATCAGAATGCTTGAAGTTCTTCATTGGAGAAATGTGGAAACTTTTCGTCGATGGTGCTTCAAACAGACATGGTGCCAGACTGGCCATAGTTTTGATCTCACTAGAAGGTATGACCATAGAACATTCAATCACACTTGGGTTCCTAGCATCGAACAACGAGGCTGAATATAAAGCACTGCTAGTCGGGCTAAAAAGAACATTCCGGTTAAAAGTATCAGAGTTAATGGTTTAGAGTGACTCGTAGCTCGTTGTCAACCAAGTTTCTAGAGAATATGAAGCCAAGGATAGCAGAATAACCAAATACCAGACCCTCGTAAGGGAAGAGCTCAAAAAATTTCAAGCAGACAGAGTCGAACAAACTGGCCGTGAAAGGAACAGTCGGGTAGACGAGCTAGCTGGTTTGGCTTCTATGGCTGACAAATCGACACCTAGTCCCATACTGATTGAATTACTCCTAAGGCCCAGCATCAAAGAACTAGAAGTGGCAGAGGTCCTCTGTGCTGAGTTAGTATCCTCTTGGATGGACCCTATCATAATCTTTCTAAAGGATAGAATCTTGTCGACAGACAAGAAATAAGCAAACAAAATTCGGGCGAAATCCAAACGGTTTTGGCTCTTTCCTTCTAGTGCTTTGTACAAAAAGTCCTTCATTGGACCTTACTTGAAGTGCGTCTATCTGAGCAAAGTCGAAGCCTTCATTTCTGAAATCCACAAAGGTATATGTCGAAGCCACATCAGCGGAAGATCTCTAACTTACCACGCTATTTCACAAGGGTATTGGTGGCCGTGCATACAAGTTGACGTGCAAAAATACGTGAGAAAGTGTGAAAAATGCTAGAAATTTGCACTCTAGATTCATCAACAAGCCAAAGAATTCCTCCCTCTTACAAGTCCTTGGTTATTCGCAATGTGGGAGCTAGACATAGCGGGATCACTTCCAATCGCGCCTGGCAACCGTAAGTTCTTTATCGCGGCAACAGACTACTTCATCAAATGGGTGGAGGCCGAGCCTCTTGCAACTATCAAGGAAAAAGATATGGAGAAATTTATTTAGCAAAATGTGGTAATGCGGTTTAGAGTCCCCAAGGCTCTAATCTCCGACAACGGCATCCAATTTGATGGAAAACTGTTCAGAGGATTCTGCAAGGAGTTGAAGATAGAATTTTACAATTCAACACTAGCTTACCCTTAATCAAATGGCCAGGCGGAAGTGTCGAACAAGACAGTTCTGGATGGGTTGAAGAAAATGCTGGAGAAGGTGAAGGGAAAGTGGACTGAGGAACTTCCTAATATCCTGTGGGCATACCGAACGATGCCAAGACGATCAACGAATGAGACTCCTTTTGCCTTGGCATATGGCATGGATACCGTCATCCCATTAGAAGTCGACATGCCCACCATTCGGAGTGAGAACTTTGAGCCGGATTTGAATGCGAAAGCTATCACCTGGAATTAGACCTCGCAGAAGAGTGAAGAGAGAAGGAACTAATCCATATCGCAACATATCAGCAAGAACTATCCAGGAAGTATAACAAAATAGTCCATCCCAGACAGTTCAAAATCAGGAATTGGGTCCTGTGCAAAGTGATAGGCAACACCTTGATACCAGGAGAAGAAAAATTGGGGGCAAACTAGGAAGGACCTTACAAGATAACTAGTTTGGTAAGTAAAGGGGCATTTTACATGGAGAACCTAGACAGCCAAGCCATACCTAGGCCATGGAACACTGCGAATTTGAAGCTATTCTACTTCTAATTGTGCTTTCATTGTAACCCCTCATTTCATGATGTAATTTTCCAACCTTTGTTGTAAACTTGTTCATGTAATGGAAACAATGGTTCATTTCATTCGATGACTTGTTCAACTCAGGGTTCTTTGCGGAGTTGGTATTTGCTAGGCAAAATGAGTTTATGTTTTGTTCAACTCACTGTTCCTTACCGAGTTGGTTTTGCTCGACAAGATGTATTGATGTTTTGTTTAACTCATATTGCTTTGCTGAACTGGTTTTGCTCAGTAAAATGAGTGGGTGTTTTGTTCAACTCGTAGTTCCTTGCCAAGCTAGTTTTACTCAACAAAATGAGTTGGTGTTTTGTTTAACTTATAGCTCCTTGTCAAGCTGGTTTTTGCTCGGTAAAATGAGTTGGTGTTTTGTTTAACTCGTAGTTCTTTGTCGAGTTAGTTTTGCTCGGCAAAATAATTTGAGGTTTTGTTTAATTCATAGCCCTTTGCCGAGCTAGTTTTCTCTGCATGACAAGTTAAGTTGTGTTCAATCCACAATTCATTGCCGAGTTGATTAAGTTTGGATTATAGTTCCTTACTGAGGTGTCGTTGCACGACTTAAGTAAACACGTATCAATCCAAAACCATAAACAAAAAGACTAAGCAAAATTTCAATTAATAGTAAAAAAGAAGTACAAAAGGTTGGGTAGATAGCCCGATTACAATGTTCAGAGACATGAGAAAAGAAAGAAAAATAAGAAAAGTTAACAAGTCAAACGAGGGGAGACAAGTCATCTACGAAGTCGTCACTAGTAGCATCCCTTTCCTGCTCGGTTACAGCAGCTCTCTCTTGCTTAGTTGCAACGACGACTTCATTCCCGCAGAGCTCGGCCGGTGCAGCCTATACCCCCTCCTTGGCTTCCTTTTCCTACAATGCATTAAAGACATTCTCGGTATATGAAACCATGTAGCCCGACAAGAAGTAGGGGGGGAAGAGTGGTAAATACCTCGGTCGAAGGACTGTGACCAAGCTTCTTGCAAGCGGCCTTCCAGTCGGATTGGAAGAAGATGCCTTTAGTGGCCTCAACTTGCTTGGTGTAGCTTTCCTCAGCGTTCTTGAAGCCTTGGTCTTCACCGCCTTCACTACGACAGATTGTTCCTTTTTCAGCGCCTCGAGCTTGGCATACGCTGCATCCCTCTCCTGTTCGGTGATGGAAAGCTGATCTGATCGACGAGCTGGGCATTCTCTGTATTGGCTAGCTTGAGAGAAGCTTTGAATCGCCAGAGCTCAGCCTCAAAGTACTTTCCCTGCGTGGTGGTGTCAACCACTTTCTGGCTCAAGTTTATCACATGTTTATGACCATGTGGGTCTTCTAGATCGGCTGCAATGTGGAAAATGATTAGAATGCAAAATCGAGAAAAACAGTTAACCGATTTTAGGTGCAACACTTACCTTGGTCATGGACTTCACCGCGGATTTAACCATCCAGGTGTCTGGTATATGGTCAGTCCCGAGCATGTTGCCCGACAGTAGTAAGGATTTGGACAAGTCAAAGGTGAGGAGCTACTCTTTATCACCTTTGACCGAAGCGTTAGCTAGAATGTCCTTGCCTCGGTGCCTCAACTTTGGCTTCCAGGCAAGAGCTGGCTCAACCTCCACTGCGTGTTCGCTGTTTAGCTCGGCTACGAGCAGTTGAAGGATCAGCAAAGCAAGATTGTTTGCCAACCTAGCGGGATTGTGTGCCAGAAAGTTGAGCGGCAGAAGAGGCCAAGGCCAGCATGGTTGCTGAACCTTCACTAGTTGTTGGGGCGGAAGGAAGTATGCCGCTTGACAGTTCTTGAGAGGTGGTTGTGATAAAATTCTTGATTCTGTTTCTTTTTGCCATCTCTTCTTTCTCGGTTAGATAAATGAGTGGGACGTCTGAAAGACATGGATTTGGAGGGGGAGAAGGTTCGGACAAGAAGTTTGTGACCTTGCTCTTTCTTTTGGACGAATATCGATAGCTCAGTACATAACCGAGCAAGTCGTGGCAGCTACGGGTTTTATATTGCAACGCGGTTCTCACAACTGCTTCATCAGGGCGTAAATATAACGCTTGTAGCACGACGATAACTACAAAAGGAAGTCTATCAGCTCAGCAAAACAAGATTAAAATGAAATTGACTGTAGTTGAAATTTGGCTTACTTGCTGAGCCCTTGTCCTTACTAATGTACCAACTAGGCAAGTCGGCAGTTTTGTAGTTGCCGGTTACCCAGAAAAAATCATCGTCGTGAAGATCTTTATGTAGCGTGCTGGTCACTAGACGCTTTCTGCCAGGTCTTACTTTTAGGTACCAGTTAAAACCGTCGCTGGTGTGACCAAACATGTAATGCCGAAGTATCTCGACTAGGCCTAAGTTCAAGCCAAGTCAATGATTTAGCTCGGCGACTCCATTTATTATGGGAAAAATGTTAGTATAGACTTATGTGGGTCACAACCCGGTGCATCTTAAGAACTCGCACATCAATGGCTGTACTGGGAAGCGAAGCCCCCCATTCAATGATGGACAACACGGTGAAAGGGCAAGAGTCTAATCTGTCCTAAGGGGTTGCCCCCTCTTTGCCGAGCTCAAAGTGAACAACGGCTGGGACACCATACTCCTCGCGAAACTCAGCCAATCCTCCTGACGTGTTTACAAGGAAGCGTTAATGCCTCATAGAGCCCGGTTTAATTTGCACAGCAAAGCGTGTTGGCTTAATCACATAGCAATTTCTCAGCCGGAGAGAGAGCTTGTTCTGGTGTGCCTGGTCTCCTAGGATTCTGTATCGTGGAAAATCAAAACGAGTGTAAGTGACAGCACGGTTGTGCGAATGAACCTGATCTTAGCCTAGTCACTTTGATTGGCCGAATTGCATTTTGAAGAATGCTAAGGGATAGAGAAAACTTATGGATAAGGGCTTAAATCGACGTTCCAATCGGCAAAATGTGTTCTAATGGCGATGAGGAAGCGTACTTGTTAACCTTCAGTGAATAAAAGTACTTTTCCTTTTATGCTTGTTCATACTGATGTGTGGGAATCTTCCCTTGAGGTGTCCACTTCTGGGTATCATTGGTTTGTCACTTTTTCATAAAATGGTAAGCAATCTCTTAAATGCTACCATTAAAATTTTGCGCAGTGATAATAAGACTGAGTATGTTGATGGTGGTTTTCGGGCATATCTTAAGGAGTATGGCATTCTTTACCAAACTAGTTGTGTTGGCACTCCTCAGCAGAATGGAGTTGCCAAGCGCAAGAATGGCCATCTCCTTGAAGTTGCTCGTTTGCTCTTGTTTACCGTGAATGTCCCCAAATCTTTTTTGGGTGGTGATGTTCTTATTGCTGCTTATCTTATCAACCGTATGCCTTCTAATGTACTTCAATTTCAAATTCCTGTTGCACTTCTTCCTATGACTTATCCCACGTCCTCTCTTCCTCCTCAGGTTTTTGGGTGTATCTGTTTTGTTCATTTGCACCCTCACACTCGTGGGGAGCTTGATCCTAAAGCTGTGTGTTGTGCCTTTCTTAGCTATTCCGCTATTCAGAAGGGTTACAATGTTATGATTCTCACACTCGAAAAGTAGATGTTAGTATAGATGTCACCTTCTATGAATCTGAGTCCTTTTTTACTTCTTCTCCACTATCTCCTCAGGGGAAAAGTATAATGGATGAGATGATGTCATATCAGCGTGAGTTATCCTTTTTTATTCCTAATCAACACACTGTTATTTGTGGTGAGGGGGAGCCTGAGAGTGGTTTTGGTGGTGAGCCTGACATTGGGAGCCGTTTGGACATGGTTGATCTTAAGACTTATCATGGTGTCATGAAAAGCAACCATCCCTTGTGCCACCAAGCCAATCATCATCCCTCATGCCGATTCTAGATCCAGTTTCCACTGATTCTACAGATAATGCACCTTATTCTATTTCTTCACCAATAGTTGACAGTCCTATTGCTAATGATTTGAGCCTTCCTATTGCTCTTAAAAAGGGGGTTAGGGTTTGTACTCAACACCCTATCTCTAAATTTGTGTCCTATAATTCATCGTCTCCTATATATTGTGCTTTTGTTTTGCCTCTTATCTTCTGTGTATATCGCACAAGGTTGGAAAGAAGTTATTAATGATCTTAAGTGAAAAGGAGCTATTGTAGAAGAGATGCAAGCTCTGAGCAAGAAAAATACCTGAGAGTTGGCTCCTCTTCCAAGTGAAAAAAAACAAATAGTGTGTAATAAGTTGGTGTCTACCATTATGCAGAAAACTACTGGCCAATTGAACGGTACAAAGCAAGACTAGTGGCCAAGGGAATTACCTAGACATAAAGAATTGATTATCAAGAAACCTTTTCTCCTGTAGCAAAGATGAATTACATTCAAGCCATTCTTTCATATGCAGCTAACCTAGG